TGGTAAATCCCCTACATCGCCGTGTCATAGTTGTGTTCTGTCATTTATGGAAAATGCTCTTGGTAGTTCTTGCACTAAAAATATGGGCCAAGGGTGTGTTTCAATTCAGGGGGCTTTGAAATTCGGCTGGCGGTGAGGGGAGGAACCAGGGAGGTAAAACTTTGCACTTGCAGAGGTTTGGCGGCATTAACCAACGCACAGGCATAGCACCTTTCATCTCATGATCGCCAGGGCATGGAGAGCTCCGGGGCTCACGCTTTCCCCCACGTAGCTCCCCCTTTTCTAACAGGAAGGATTTCCCCAAAGCTCAACCCCATCAGCCAGAGACAGAGCTGGAAAGTGAACCCATGCCCCCGTTTCCTACCCTGCCAGGACCCCCTCATCAGGTCCCCAGAGCCAGGGAGGTAGTGGGGGGCTCCGGCCCCACCCCCCCAGACCCGGCCGCCCCACGGCACTGACCTTGCTGGCTGGCCAGTGACTGCGGTTCAGTGTTCAGACTCTGCAGGTAGTTGTGGCACCGCTCCTTGTGCTCCTCCAGCGTGCTCTGCTGCTTGTAGCTCCGGCCGCAGTAGTTGCACTTGTAGGGCTTGCCGACAGTGGGGGAGGAGACTGCAAAACAGGCAAACCAGAGCCTGGCCGTAAGAACAGACATAGTGCCCTTACCAAAGAGCCCGGGGAAGGGCTGGACGTGCCCCAACGGGAGGGAAAAGTGTCAGGAATCGGTCAACGGGGAGCATCACGGCGGGGCAGCGACCCTCGCCATCAGCCCAGCGCACCGTCTAGCTGAGCCGCAGAGAAAGGACCTCCTCGACACGTCTCCAGTAACAGTTTCCAGAGCTGGGAGTGAGAGCTGCAACCTGCAGCTCTTGGCTTCTACCTCAGTCTTCCTCCTGACCACCACCTACCCCAAACACCGCTACTGCATGCAGCCCAGCAGTTCGATGATTCCTCTCCTCAAACGCTGCTCCCTCATGGAGAGCTGCAGGAGGAGGACTGGATGCTCCTGGATTTTGATAGATGGGGAGCTACGAAAATAAATCATAATTTGGCCAAACACCTAAATCAAAACACCTCTGATCTGGCTTTTACCTATGCTCCGCTCCCAAGATGACAGCAACACGGGTTTCTAGCAGCCGCCTGGCCACGTTACACACCTCCAGGTAAAGAAAGCCTCACACTGGAAGCCGTGACAGCAAAGGCAATATTTAAGGAAAGCAGCTGGACTCCCCACACCAAACTTTTTAAAGATTTCTAAGCATTTCTTTACCCTCCATTCGGCACAAAGTGCTCGGTGGCTTGGCCAGCACTCGGTTGCTGTGTGGAGTGCACCCCCCCCGCCCCAGTAAGATTTGTGATAAGACACTCGCCAGACACATTTTTATCCTCATCACTTCCAATTTCCTCACTTCAGACTGAAAATCACCGAAGTTACCCAAGGTCGGCATTCAGCCTTGCTGGCCAGCGACCACCAGACAAAGGAGAGCGGCCGCCACGTGCCGTGGAGCCGGCGGTTTTCCTCGTGCCGTGCCATTATCTGCATGTTTTAACCAGCAGACTACTTACAGCGAAAATTCATGACCCTTCCCGAAGGGAGATGGTATCTCTGAACCCCGACGCAGTTTCCATCGCGTCGCGAGGCCGCTGTCTGCGCAGAGGATGGGGAAATGCAAATGCTGACATGGGGGTTTTGTGCCGCTCGCTGGGTGATTGCTAATTAGGTATAATCGTGGCAGTACCTGGGCAGCAGAGCAACCGACATCCTTCAGGCACGGGGAAAGGGCAAGGTGGTCCCCAGCCCATTAAATATTCTGGGGCAGGGGGATAAAGGGATCCAGGCTCCAAGGGACCTGCTGCCGCAGGGTGATCACACTCAGACGCCTTTTAGGGGCGGCAGCTTGTTAAGCAAGAGGATGCTAATGGGAAAAAGAGGCAAGTGCAGGGAAGCTGAGCCGGAGAGGGGGTGGGCTCTCCAGCCCCCTGCACACCCTCCGAGCACTCAAGCTGGATGGAGAGCACAGCCCCACGCACTCCCTTCTCCCTGGCTGTCGGAAGCTCACCTCCCAAAAAAAGGCAGGACACCAAACCACAGAGCCATGCCATGCTGGGGAGGGGGACATGGTCCACCAGGCAAGAGCCAGGGACCGTGGTGTCCGTGACAAGCCCAAGAGCTGCTGTGCCCTTCCCCTCCGACACTGCCCCACGGGGCAGGGAGGCTGGTTTGAGTAGCGGGGCAATGCCCCGAAATCGGCTGCTTTTGCTGGAAGCCAGAGCCCATCGCCCTCCACCTGGGATGTGCTGGCAGGGACGCCAGCCAGCTCCGGTGCGAGGCTCGGGGAGGAGTGTGCTGCCTGCTCGAGACCCGCCTGGACCAGGCTCTTTCTGTTCCTGTCAAATTTACGGGGCTGGTTTGGGGTTTTTTGCAGCTTGTGGTTTAACCTTTAACTGCTTTTTTAAAAAAAACCACACTTTCGGGCTGTAGGTGAATTCGTATTTACCGCCCGCCTCAGCTCTGACACCTGGATTCATGTGAAGTGTTTTGCACTGTGTCTGGGAAGCAGGGCCAGCACCTCCTCTTGCAACAGCTTGCACCAGATCCTGCCCAAACACCACCGCGGCAGCCCCAAACAGCGGCGGTCAGCGAGGAGCCTGGCTGCGTCCACACGCGCCGTAACCCTGCCCGGTCCCTGCCCGGCAGCTCAGCCAAGCCACAGGCAGATCCAGGAGTCCAGGAGCCACCATGGATTTCACCACTGAAAACTCCGGGTTAGAAATCAATCCGGAGAAGCTGACGACAAGTGCAAATCTCTCCTCCCAGCCCTCCCCAAGCAGCAGCATTGTCACAGAGCAGCTGAATATTGGTTTACTCTAGTCCCAAGGGAGGCGAGGATACCACTAGCCTCCGAGCATGAACACAAAAATGTGCGTTAGGAATTTACTCCTCAAATCTAGCAATTTAGATGCAAGAGCCTCAACTCCAAATTCCATTATGTCTCATTAATCTCCATCACTTGCACAGCTTTTAAAGTTAAGAGTTCCCCAAATGGCTCGGTTTTGTTACTCCTAAACAAAACAACCCAAACCCCTGCATGCGTTTGTACTTTGCAAAGCTCCCAATGGCTGCGCTGGAATTGGGATTGGCTTCCTAAGCCGGGAAGATCCACATGGATACCCTGAAGTTACTTCCTCAGGATCCAGCCTTCCCCTTCCCTGCCCCAGCCTGTGTTTTGGGGCTCTGGGGACAGGCAGCTGCCAGTGGTGCAGGGGGGCAGCAACGGAGGAGCCTGGGACCGGGCCATCACCTGACCGTGCCGGGATGGCTCCCTGCAGACATGGGGACTGCGCTGTCCCCCTGCCCACACACCTCGCCAGCAAAGGTCTCGCTCCCAGCGTCGAGGCTGCTCCTCGGCTCTGCCCACGCCGCAGCGATGCCCTGCCTCGGTGGTTTGCTAAGTCTGCGCTGGGCTTCCCCTCGCAGCGGGTCAGCTACAGCTCAGGGATGGGGTTTTACGGCAGCTGCAGGACATGGAAGGAGGCTCCATCCTGAATCGGACTTTGCCTTGAGATCAGTCGCTTTTCCTTTTACTCCTTAGTCTGTTCTTTGAAAACATCATCATTTACCCACCGACACGCACTCGTGTCTCGGATGGACTCGGTCCATGTCACCTAACGTGAACGAGAGGCTTCCAGCGAGCAAGGAGGTCTGTTTAGGATCCCCGAAGTTCTTGGCCCATGTAATACCCAAAACGCGAGCAAGGGGGATGCTCTCCTTGCCACCGGGTCCCACCAGGAGAAGTTTCTTCTGATCAAGTACAACAAACAGAAAGGTTCCCTCTGAACACAAGCTCCAGGTTCATTTATTTACCGGGTTGCGAAGCGGCGAGGACTAAAAGGGAGGGAGGTCTCAGGGGACTGGCGGCTCGTCTCAGCTGTCCCGGGTGTGGGCTGCAGCTTCTGATCTATTTCAGAACAACGCAGCATGTTTGATCTGGATTTTAATACCTCACTTTTTTGGACAGCACATCCTCTGAGATGAAAGCTCAGCGGCCCTCATGGGGATGGCATGAAACGCACATGCCTCTAGTTAAGGCAGAGGGAGGGAAAGCCAAGCCCCACTGCCTTCCACCCAGGCAGGGTAACTGCTAGACTTTCGCCTGTGAAATCCACATTAAATGAAGTTTTTTCTTAGTAATTAGCTCCTGTAAAGACTAATTTTTGTTTGATATGTTGTGAGGGCTTGTCCCATTTCTGTGTCTCTTGATTGAAGGACTCAAGGAGACCCTTTCCATGCCTGGCAGTGGGGAGACATCGGCACAGCTCTTCTGCCAAGGACCCACCTCTGGACGCTTGGCGAGGGCGAATGCGGTGGACAGGCACAGCCTGAGAGGGGGATCTCAACCCACAGGAGGGGACACGACCGAGGAGTCCAGAAATGACCCTGCACCTGGGGTCTGGACAGTTTGGGGTCCCCTGAAGCACATTAATTAGGATAAAGGCCCCATGAGCACAAGGTAGGCTCGGAGCAGGTTCTCACCGTCCTCGGGAGCTGCTGCTGCAGCACATGCCCCTCGGTTCAGGTCTGTGCATCTGCCTGGTCGGCTGCCAGCAAGTCGGGGTTCCCAGAATGGGGCTCAGCCATGTAACGCCCCAAAACCCCACATCCCAACATGGAGGGGATGGGGAAGGTTTAAACAAAGCGAGGAACAGAGGCCTTCCTAATGGGACTCTGCTCCAGACACAACAGAAGATTTTTTTCAAAAATCCAAGAGCCGTCCACTTTCAGAGCACCCATCCCCCGCCAAAAACCTGTGCACTGAAGGTCCCTGCGCAGGGGCTCGTCAGTGGCACCCTGGAAGGGTGCAGGGCAGAGCCGCTGGCAAGGCGAGCTCGTGGCGGACGGATGCCAAAGCCCCTTTCTTTGCCGCCTGGTAACTCCTCCCCAAGCCGGAGGTGGTGGACCGACTTGACGCCCGCCGTAGGTACTGCCACTCGAAGCAGCCGGGGGCAGAGGGGAGGAAGACGGATGATGCTGATCACTCCAGACTGAAGGACTCGTCGGGAGAGCTGAAGGCCTCCAGGCAGAGCGGCCGCGGCTCAGCTGGTCCGAGCAGTCGCTGTGGTGCTTCGCGGGGAGCCGGGCTGTCACCAGAGCCTGGCTTTCCTTACCCTCTGAGTGGGGCGGGAGGAGATGCACATGCTCTTTGCTCTCTGGAGTTAATGACACGAGGGGTTTTGCCTCCAACTACTGCCTTCTTGCTTTTTTTTTTCCCCTTAGAGATAAGGAAAGAATGTGGGGAAAGGATTTCTTTGGCATTTCTCCCCATAAACTGGCAAAGCCTGAGGCCACTAACCTCATCTGCTCCCCCGGCGCCAAACCGACTTTTTCCCAATCACCTCAGTATCAGAAATGCCACATACTGCCATATTGTGGTCAGGCTGAAGAACCAGACAAGACAACACAGAAGTTTTACGCTGAGAAGCAGCTTTGTCCCTTGGTAGCGGGGATGTCCAGAGAGAAAATATAATGGATAGAAAGCTCCTGCAACCCCCCGAAACGCCTCCCACGCAGATGCCAGGCAAGAACCAACAGCCCCATTCCAGGCTTGGCACCTTGCTCTGGGGGTCAAACCACCCGGATTCCCCTCTGGCATCTCCCAGAAAGTCTCAGATGTGTGTGTGGGAGGGAGACAAACTCCCAAAAGAAATGGCAAAGTGGGAAGATTTGTCCACAGCAAGATGGTAGCTTAAGCTCACCCAGAGCATCACACCTTCCGACCGAGAAAGGTAGAAACTTAAAGAAAATGGAGGCTCTCAGGCCAGGCTGTGAGGGGGGAGCAGGTTTCTGAGCTCCTGGGCAAGGCTGTGATGAGAATAGGCTCTTCAGGGGACAGGTTTCTTCCTTCAAGGAAGCACACGACACTCATTTCCATGCAGCACTCAAAAGGTTAGAGTCACAGGTGTTCAAAGCCATCTGCGTGAACTTTAAAAGCCCCGGCAGCACCGCAGAAACATGCTGGTACGCAAATCAAGGGAAAACGATCACAAACCAGGGGGCCGGCTGGCGTACTTCACTCCCACCCATGGCCCCCGCCAGCTGTTACATCACGGAACCGGAGGGTGAAAACCACATCTCAAATGTCATATTTAAAAAGGACAATGTCAAAACAACACACAAACAAAACCCCTCTGCGCTCATTTTCACTGGGGCAGGGCACACCCAAGGGTGGGACCTATCTTGACTCAATAACATCTATTAAACATTTATCTTTATAAGTAAGAGCTGCAATAACCCCCAGGAACGACTGGAACACAGCAGCACAAAGCCCCGCGGGCACCAGAGTTCCCAGACCATTAACCAGACACCGACACAACCTCCCCCAGGCACACGCTGTGCCCTCGGCAGGTCGGCTCTGCCCCACCACAGCAACGCCGCA